AGAGAGAGAGAGAGAGAGAGAGAGAGAGAGAGAGAGAGATTAATCGAGCTCCGCACACCAAGAATATACCAACCACTAAACCAACACATGGTAGTGTCAGATATTTTGGGGAGGGAGAGAGGGAAATCAACAGTCCATAAGTGGCTTGAGAGCCCCACCAGCTCAGAGGCATCACAGGCACGCGCACCTCTCAGCTGGAGCGCATCATCTGTCCATTCCGCCACTCACTCGCGGCGCACGACATGTGAAGGTGTAACGCTCATGCATGTGATTTGTCCGTGTCCCGAGACCCGAAATATCTGGACGAAATGCTTTCAAGAAGGTGGATTGTTGGAGATTGTGTATGGAGGCAGCGGGACACCTCCCCATAGTTCGGCGTAGAGTCTCTCTGAAGAGTGCGCGAGAGACCGACACCAGAGTTGCCGCGGCACGGATTGAGGACCATCTGCTGATTTCCCCCAACAATCTGTGTTTTAGTGGGATAACCGATTCTCAGACGCGCCAGTATCTGGCAATAAGAGCTTTTAGAGCTTTTCTGGATAACATACTACAATACTGCTTGTTTCGTGGGGGTCGCTGAGACCTGAACTACACCACCAGGTGCCCCCGCTTAATATATTCACTGGATAACAATTAATACTGCAGAATGTGTTCATCTCCTTCTGGACTGCTCTCAATTGCATCTAGTGAAATATTTGCTCGGGACCACACAGGATGAAATGGACATCAGCACTGCAATAAATTATCCAAATTGAAATTCAGCGAGAAGTCTGATCTGAGCTATAGGAGTACATACATTTATGTATTCTGATTAAATCAGACAACGTTTGATAGATCGCCTGGCATCTTACTGACAGTGTGAAGTCTGGAATACAAGAATAAATGAACCAGAGTGGACAGACAGAGAATTAACAATATCCAACATGTTTAAACGGGGTAAGTGCAATTTACAACTTTTATTCCTTTTTAAATAGACATATGTTGAATTTTGATTTGAAAAATATTTATACTTAAAAATTGATAAAAAAAAAATAAAAAAAGAGAATAAATATCATCTTGTGTGGAATCACAGCATGCTAGGTTTATTTATGATTTTAAATAAATGATACATGTTTAAAAATACATTTATTTGAGCTATTCTTCCTGGTAAATTCTTCCTTATGAACTGTTTTTATTATAGATAAAGATGCTTGTTGCCGTTATTGCAACAATTATAAAGTGTTATTTTTCATATAATTTTTAATAGGTTTTTTTAAAAGCTGTTTGAAATGGAAAATAACAGAGGTTTTATATACATACATAAAAGCAAAAATGCTTGTTGCAGTAGGTTTTGAAAGTTTATGTAGCAGGCTGTTAAGTTGTTACAGCGCTCATCCATGATCTTTTTCCCAGAATCATGTGTGTCTGCCCCCGGGTAAGCTCAGCGTAAAGCAGATGTGTTTAAAATATTCATCATCATATCATGAAATATTTTCTTAAGATGCTAGTGGTGGGTGCCGCACTGCAGTTTATGGCCGGTTTTTCATCAGAAAGCATTATGCTGTCTGCCTGGCTCCAATATATTTCTCTTGGTGGCTTAAACAGGTTGGGCTCAGACAGTCTGTCACATTTGTTTATGGACAATGTTTATGATCAAATGATGACGTGTAAGGAGTGAATAGTAGGTCGATAGATTAACTGGTTAGTGCTGAATCTGTCAGTGGGAGGCACTTGAATGACCTGCAGATTATTGCAAAGACTTGTCAGTCTGTTTTCACTAGATCGGTGGTTGTCAGTGCTGGCCCTGGAGTACCAGTTGAACCTTATTTAACACACCATCAGCTCATTACTAGAGGCTCCAGGACCTGAACAGGGTGTGTCAGATAGGGGAGACATCTAAAATGTGCAGTGCCAGGAACATAATTGACAGCCACTGCACTAGATCAAATCATACGTGGTTAAACAGATCATAAATATGACCACTCAGTGTTTACTAGGACATTTCCTTTGCCCCATTTACTGCACATTTAATCGTCTCTAGACCTTTTGCATGGCACTATCACAGACGCTCAAGCTCTCAGGTTGCTGACTGCATAACCATATAGTGAGTCAGTCTGGAAAACCGAATTTCCTCGGAGGAGGCCCAAAGCTTAATGCAGAGACAATTGGTATTTCAATAGACTTGGCGTAGGAACAAAACACACCTATCAAGCCTCTCACAGCACACTAAAGACCCCTTATGAATGCCTGTGAGGAGCCTGTGGTGCAGATATGAGAACAGTGGGTTGGTTTTGAACTGATTTGGATCTGATTTTCATTTACCTCAAAGTACACCGCTACAATGTGGTTTTGCAGTATCTTTTTGGAGATATTTGATCCCGCATATTTTGGGACACACTGTATTTGTTTCTTTTATTATAGTAGAGTTGTAACTGCAGATGAAAAGTTTTATGAATATTATATATACAAACTGCCATTCAAAAGTCTGGGGTCAGTAAAATTTCATATGCTCACCAAAGAT